TAGTTAAATCTTCTCCTTTCTCTTAGTTTTAGCCTGAAGCTCTAACGTGTCCACGATTGGTCAATTTGTTAAAATGATTTATTGATATCTTCAAAATACCCATTTGAAGCATGACTTATTTATTTACTTCATTCAATGTTTTGAGGTAATTTCTAAATCCCAGTTTGGTTTTCAAGAACAAAAAACTTCCACTTCATATATTTATTATGCAATAGATTAAACAAGTTATAAAAGTAATTTTTAAAAATTGACTCAAAAATCGTGTAAATTCCCTTGTAAATTGAAGAGTTTGATGATTCTCATGAATCCCATCATCATAATATATTGACCAAAATTATATAGAGATACCCCCTAACAAAAAAAAGAGTCATAGAAATCGGACAACTTGGTAGAGAATTATATATGTCGTAGGCTTATTATAAAATCAGTCTTATTATAATACGTGTAGGCTTTTTCAATACGATATATATACATTAAAAAATAATCCGACGAATTGAGAACTTGCTCCTTTTTTATTTGACGACAGGCTTTTTTTTTCAAATCTCCAAGTATGTGTTTTCACCTTTGGGGTTCGGGGATTTTCAAAACTATATATACAGGGTGATTCATAAGTACTTTGACAAACTTCAGGAAATGATTCTTTGAGTAATTTTAAGGTAAAAAGTTCATATAAACATGTGTCCGGAACTGGATGGTTTTCAAGATACAGGGTGTTAAAGTTGTAAGAAAAAAAATCGTTTTTTTTATCATATCTTTCATACCACTGAAGATAATTTAATGAAATTTGGTACACGTTGTTTTACCATAAAGTGACATTTTTTAATGCTATTAACTTTTTTTATTTTCATCAGTGGCGTCCCTACGGTATGTAAACTAAATATTATTGAATAAAAAAATGGTACGCCACTGGTTTTAAAAAAAATAAAAATTATTTTTAAAATCTACATTTAATTTGGAACAAATTTGATCTCTTGACTTTTGTTCGCGTAAAGAAATTTGTACAAAGTCGGTAGAAATGCAAATCAATATCCGGAGAGTGTAAAATCAGTAGTTTTTAAATAACATATGCAATATGCAAGAAATATCAACATTTTATTTCAAGAAATTTTAAATAAAATTAAATTAAATAAACGAAATTAAACTGTATTCAAATAAATTGTTGAAAGTGTCCACCTTCAGCGAATCTTCTAGTCATTGAATCTGAAAAATTATTGGTGTGTTTCTTATTCTTTCACAGGCGTCTATTATTCGGTTTCTTAGTCCTTCCTCGTTTGCTACTGGAGTTTTATAAACGAATGTCCCCAAAAATAAAAATCTAACGGGTTTAGATCTGGGAACCTTGGTGCCCACGCCTGGTTAGGTTCTTCTACACCCCTACTGATCCATCGATTTGGATAGACAGTGTTAAGGAATTCCCTGGCTACAACGCTGAAATGGGCCGGAGCCGTATCATGCATAAACCACATGCGGATACGATTTTCTAAAGGTACATTCTGAAGTAATCCCGGCAATTCGTTTTCTAGAAAGTGTCTGTAAGTTTCTCCATCCAGTCGGAGCGGAAGAAAGAAAGGGCCTATCAAATAATCATCAATTATTCTCGCCCATACATTTACAGAAAATTGATACTGAGAATGCCTTTCACTAATTGCGTGCGGATTTTCTAGAGCCCACACATGGTTGTTATGAAAGTTTGTGATAGTATTTTTGGAGAAATTTGCCTCGTCCGTAAAAAGTACAAATCTTAAAAATTGAGAATTTTCAGCCAATTTCCTCAAAAACCACTGACACATATTAATGCGTTGAGGAAAGTCTCGTGACAAAAGAGCTTGCACCCTTTGAATATGGTATGGATACAATTGTTGATCGTGGATAATTCTACAAACTGTGGACTGAGTAGAATTGAGAGCTTCAGCAATTATTCTTGTACTTGTTTCTGGATTCTCCTCGACAGCGTTCAAAACAACTTCTTCCAATTCTGAGGTTCGGACTGCACGTGGTCTTCCAACAATATCAGCTGCCCTCTTAAAGCTACCTGTTTCGGTCATACGACGGTGGAGACTGGAAAACGTTGGAGCAGTACTCGATTAGGAAATCGCTCCTGGTAAATACGTCTCGCTTCGAGCGCATTGCCATCCGCAAGGCCATAAACGAAATGCATGTCGGTTAAATAGGCATTATTGTCTAAATAATCCATTTTTCTAAATGAGTGTTTTAAAATTTACAGAAACTTTACCAATTCAATGATAAAGCCAAAAAAAACTTAACGAGGAGTGTTTAACTGTCACATAATGTGTTGTTACCATAAATACTTACCTAAATGTCAAATTCATTTCTAGGCACTCTTGTGTAACAAAATAATGCTGATAACTTCAACATGCATCGACTTGAAGATTTCAAGTCCAAATATCTAGAAAACGTAACGACTTCTAACAAGGGTAGCTTTTTTACATAAATTTAATAGGGAAATCGGTTTTTTTTTACTGAAAAATGTGCTAGAAGTACGCTCAAAAAATTTTTAGCGATTTAGTCATGTATGAAAATGGTTTTTATTTTTTTACGCGAAAACGGTGCGTCTTACGAACAAAAGTCAAGAGATCAAATTTGTTCCAAATTAAATGTAGATTTTATAAATAATTTTTATTTTTGAAAAACCAGTGGCGTACCATTTTTTTTCTTCAATAATATTTAGTTTAAATACAGTAGGGACGCCACTGATGAAAATAAAAAAGTTAATAGCATCAGAAAATGTCATTTTATGGTAAAACAACGTGTACCAAATTTCATTAAATTATCTTCAGTGGTATGAAAGATATGATAAAAAAACGATTTTTTTTCTTAAAACTTTAACACCCTGTATCTTGAAAACCCTCCATTTCCGGACACATGTTTATATGAACTTTTTACCTTAAAATTACTCAAAGAATCATTTCCTGAAGTTTGTCAAAGTACTTATAAATCACCCTGTATATAAAATTGTTTGTCTGACTGACTGACTGACTGACCTATCAGCGTACAGGCAAAACTACTGAGCCTAGAAAGCTGAAATTTGGAACATAGGTTTTATTTTATAACGTAAGCATCCGCTAAGAAAGGATTTTTGGAAATTTTAACTTTAAAGGGGGGAAATGGGAGGAAATGTGGAGAGGGAGCTTTTAATGAAACTCTTTGTTCTTTAAAGTTAGAAACATGGAAATTTAAATTACAGCTACTAAGCACAAATAAATATTGACGTATTTTAGGGTTTTTGGATTTTTAAGGGGGGAAAACGGGGGTGAAAGTTTGTATGGGACTATCGATTTTTTTTGTTCTCTATGAAGTTAGAAACATGAAAATTGGAACTGAAGCTACTGACTACAAATTATTAATGACGTATTTCAGGGTTTTTGGATTTTCACATTTTAAGGGGGAAATGGGGGTTGAAAATTTATTTGGGAGTATCCATATTTTTGGTTCTCTTTAAAGTTAAAAACATGAAAATTGGAATTGCAGCTACTGAGTACAAATTAATAATAATGTGTTTTAGGGTTTTTATATTTTAACATCTTTTGGGGGGCAAACGGGGGGTGAAATTTTGTATAAGAGTATATATTTTTTGTTCTCTTTGAAGTTAGAAACATGAAAATTGGAATTGCAGCTAATAAGTACAAATTAATAATGACGTGTTTTAGGGTTTTTGGATTTTCACATTTTAAGGGGGGAAAACGGGGGTGAAAATTTGTATAGAAGTATACATTTTTTAAACGTTGGAACTTGAAAATTATAATTGTAGCATAAATAATTACGTGCTCTATAGTTTTTAGATTTTTGTATGGTAGTATCATAAAAATAAACTAAAATTAAAAAAAAAATTATTAAAAATTAATAAAATTGATAAAAATTAATAAAAATTAATAAAAATTAACAAAAATTAACAAAAATTAATAAAAATAAATAAAATTTAATAAAAATTAATAAAAGTGAATAAAAAATAAATAAAAATGAATATTAGTGAATAAAAATGAGTAAAAATAAATAAAAATGAATCAATAAAACTGGAAATGGAAGTTATGTATATTTTTATATTAATAACACGACTACATGCGAGCAAAGTCGCGAGCAAAGCCGCGGGCAATAGCTAGTTATTCTATAAAAAAATAAACTAAGAGATTTAATTTATATATTTCACTAATTTCTTACCACATTAGGAACAAAGGAACTGAAAATGCTGTACATTTCTTTAGTAGAATTACCGCTGGTATCCCTCAGATAGATTATATTGAAAACAAAAAGTGAAGGACTTACGACAGCTATTTTTTAGGGATTCTTTTGTATATGTTCAAAAATAAATATTAAAATAATACAGCACAAATCAAAGCTCCGCCTTAGCTTACCTACCGAGAGCAAAAATGGCAATAGGTCAAAAGGCATTTGGCTATATAGATTCTCGGTGGGTCACCGGTAACGCCTCTGTTTGTAGAGTCAAAACAAATTACTTTTTTTTAAATCTGGTTTCAAAGCGAGATATATACCAGAAAAGGTAAAAATATAAAAATTATTTAAACTATAGGAACTCCAGGAAAGTGATATTTATATCAAAGTTATTTTTTGTTTAAAAAATGGGACAAACATTTTATATTTTTTTTTGCATTTTCGGACTCGGAATGATCGGAAACGTGAAAAAATTAAAAAGCGGGGTTGAGAAAATGTTTTCGTCTGCACGAATGCAATACTGAGGCCCCATAGGAAGGGCATTAGTAATAATGCAAATCTATAAAAAATGATAATTAGATAGAAAAATAAAGGAATGAAACTAACCAGATAGACACATCATACCTTAACCTTTTAATTGCAGACACACGTATCATTCAAATAAATGTTATTTATAATTTTGTTCCTCTTAATTTCTCACAAATCAATTCGATTTAAATAGAAAAATAGGTGAAAATAGCCTATATTTTTTGTCCATGAAATAATATTTATAGAAATAAAGATTACATATTATTATATATGTTGTGGCCTACCTGTGCCCAAACTCTTAAAAGCAGTCTTCAACTCATCCCTTCTAGCGAAATCAAAATGGGGTTCATAATGACCACCGATGCCATAATTCACCACCTGCAACTCCTCGGCAGTCTTCATAGACAATCCCGTCATGTCTTCCACTCTCTGCGATATATCGGCGATGTGCTTGTGTTCCTCCTCCTTCAACCAAGCTGATTTGCTAATTCTGTATTGGGCAATTTCTAACTCGCCCGTTACGGAGTTTTGCACGGTTGCTCGTTGAAGTCTTGGCAGAGCTAATCGCTTGACCGTTTCGATTTCGGCATCGGTCATAACGTCATGAAAAACGAACAAATCGGGCTTCAGGTAGGCTTCTTCGACTTTAAAGGGCGCTAATTTCAAAAATGGGTTGTTGTTTGATAGGTACCTAAAAAGAATAGAATAAATATTGAAAAAAAGGAAAGAAAAAAGGTATAACAAATTTGGAAATCTGAAAATGAATATCCCAATTCCTTTTACGAAACTAAGGCAACCATTCTCAATATCCCAAATTCAAAGATGGCCCAAGAAAAATTAAAAAGCTGACCACCGAGGAATCCAACCTCGAGTTTACTCCTCACTGCCTTACCAATTAGGTCACCAGAGATTATAGCACCGGAGATTGCTTGTAGGCTAGAATCTAATACCTTCAAATTGTCAGTTCGGTCATTGAGCTATAACTCGAGGATCCAGGTTCGATTCCTGGTTGGGCATTTTTCAGGTCAGATTTTTAATTTTTACTTTAGTTTGTTTTGGGGTTGGAGAATGATTTCCAAATTTGTTATAGAATAAACATGACATAATTTATTACGCTGATCATACGGTGTTAATATAATATAAGGTGTGTTCCAACAGTTAATCTGATCATCAGAAGGACATCAGACGCATGCGCATTGAAAATAGTCCGTTTCTAAGGTTCGTATAGTAGGGGCAGAAGTTGGAAAGGTTTTTGGTAGGTAGGGAGGGGGTAAACGTCAAACGACGTCGGAATAATAATAATAATGTTTTTATTGGCTCAAATTATACATTTTTTATAATTTAGGACAAAATAAATGTATAGCCAAAAGGCAGAGTTCAGTTTCTATTATGCCGGAGCAATACTAGAACCTGTTCTTCCACTCAACCGGTAAAACTAAAACTAACTAGAATATTTCAAAAAAAAAAAGTACTTACATAAGTAAATAATATTAATAAACCGAAAGAAGGGTAATCTATTATAATTCTATTAATTAACCGTAAAATGAATAATATTCTATTATATACCAGAAACAGCGAACACCCAAAACTTCAAAATTTTAAATGATTTAACAACGTTTTACATAATTTTTTAACCTAATATTGTTTAAACTAAGATAATGCATGGGTAACCTATTAAGAAGCCAAGATACGTAATAAGTGAAAGATCCCTGAAATAGATGAGTTTTGTGAAGTGGTGGTGTGAGTTTGGATTTAAACCGTATATTTATATTATGTACATCACATCGAAAAGATATTTTATTATATAAGTAAGGAGGTGTTACAGAATTTAAAATATTTTGGAAGAGCGAGCATGCATGTAATGCTCGTCTCTCAGCCATATTAAGCCAGCCTAATTCTTTTAAATGAGCAGAAACACGATATCTTCTGTTCAAGCCACAAACAAAACGTACGCATGAATTTTTAATTTTTTGCAACCTTTTTTATCACTGTTTAATAAGCATGTAAATTACGTCTCCGTAGTTTGCATGTGATAAAACCAGTGAACCACACAGCATTATTTTAATTTTTTTATCAAGTAAACTCTTATTAGAGTATAATAATTTTAAACTGCAATAAGACCTTTTTGTAATGATTGGTATATGGGATGAAAATCGTAGTTAGTTGTCAATATGTATACCTAAGTTTTTTGCAGAGGGATGCAGCATTAAGAGATCTCCATTTAAGCTAATATTTACGTTATTAAGGTTACGTTTTCTTGCAACAGGTCGGCCAAAGAGTTGAACTATTGATTTAGAGGAATTTATGCTTAGACAGTGCTTATAGATAAATGAACGAGTGACAAAATGTCATCATTAATCTTATTACAAGCATCCTGAATATTTTTCTCTTCAAAAGAGTAATACATCTGCATAAGTGTGAATCTGACAGTTTTTAAGAACAGATGGTAATTGAGAAGCATACATGACAAATAAAAGTGGACCTAGTATTGACCCCTGGGGAACACCAGAATTAATAAAAGAAAAATCAGACGAGTTTTGTTTTATGACGGTGGCCTGGCATCGATTATTTTCATAACTTTTGAAGAAATTAATAGAATTATACGTAAATCCAAAACAGTGCAAGAGAGCCAAAAGAAGTGAATGATTAATGAGGTCGAAAGCTTTAGAGTAATCAAGAAGAATTAAAATGGTCAACAGATTATTATCACATGTGAATATCATCAGTAACTTTAAGTAATGCTGTGGTTAAGCTTAAGCCACTGCGAAAACAGACTGACTCAAATGAAGTAGATCAGTGCTTAAATATTTTCTAATTTGTTTGTCTAGAATTTTTTCAAACACTTTGGATATGCAACATAAAACGTCATAGATCAGAAAATGACTCAAGAGATTGATTTCTTGGTAAGAGGAATGACATATGATTTCTTCCAAAGGTCAGGAAAACAAGCGTTTATTAGAATAAAATTAAATATATGAGTTATGTAAGGGATAATTAAAGGATAACAATATAATAATATATTGATATTAATTTTGTCCACACCCACGGCTTGTGTTTTTATTGATAACATTTGTTTGTAACATTCCTCATCGGATATATGACTGAATGAAAAATTTCCTTCGTTTAGAATTGTCGTGTTTTGATAAAATTGTAGTAGATCATCATCAGGTACTTTATTAGAATTAGTAATGTTAATGAAGTATTTATTAATTTCTTGAACATTGCATACATTCTCAGGTATATCTGTTACTGGTTTACTGTGTACATCAAGTTTATTTAATTCCTTCCAGATGTTGTTACGCTTTTGATTTCGAAGTTGAAATTCAAGATAAGCTTTTTTTGTCTGATCTAATAGTTTTGTTGGTTAAATTTCGTAGGTCTTTATAGTAATTATAGTAAGTTACTTGTTGAGTTCTTTTAAATTTATTTAGTGCTTTGTCACGTAGGGGCATCATTAATTTTAAGTTTGCAGTAAGCCACGGAGCTTTATTTTTAGTGACTTTAATAGTTTTTAAAGGAGCATGCTTATTAAATAGTTGCACTATTGTGTTTGTAAAATAATTAACCTTGTCATCGACAGTATTTAATTGGTAGATATATTCAATGTTTGCATTAGACAGGTCTAGAGTAAAATTCTCATTAGAAAATTGAGAGAAATCCCTGTAGGTGTACATTTTAGGTACAGAGCTTTAATCGTTTTTATATCAAAGGAACGTAAATTGGCGGCATATGAAAATCTTTTTTATTATTAATATTGGGAAAAAGTTATTCTTTATAAAAAGTCGAGCATGGTCTAAAACCTAAAATACAACCATCAGATATCAAATTGTATCAGTCGTATAAAGAATAAAGGTACTTTACTCTTGACTTGACAATTTCAGTTTAGTATAAAGTATTGGAATGAAAAGTTAAATTGTAATAAATAAATTAGAATTGTGAGTTAGTGCCTAAGTAGTATATAAATTAATTAGTACGTCATAAAAAATTGTAAATAGTGTGTTTTAAATAAATAAACTATAAATAAATTAGACTATCGTTACAATATTATACTCTTCACGTAGTCTGTAATCAGCATCGAGATAGAATAAAGTAGAGACGATATAAACACTATTTTTGCCATATGATAGATACACATATTTAGTAATGCCTAACTGACGGAAAAGTTTAATCAAAATGGCGACTTAGAGTCGTACTTTGATTTATTTGAAGTCAATAATTTTATATTTGAAGATTGGCGGAACGAAAATGTTTTTGGATCATTTAAATAAAGCTATTTTATATCAATGGATTCAAATTTTTGTACCAAAGTTCTTCTCATCAAATTTAAAAAAAAAAATTAAAAATGTCCTACCGTCCGTCCGATATCACGTTTTTTTTTTGTCCGCACGATAAGTCAAAAACGAAAAATGATATCAACTTGAAATATTCAGGAAAAATAAAGATCTATATGCTGACTAAACCTATTGATTTTATATATGGAGGGGTTAAGGGAGAGGTTGAAATATAAAAAAAAATCCTAACTCAAAAACGAAAAATGATAACTTCAAATTTTTACCAAAAATAAAGCTCTATAAAGGGACGAAGCCTATTAGTTTTGAAGAAAATCTGATTAAGAATGGGGGAGTTAAAGGGGGGTTGAAATATTGAGAAAAAAAAATAGAAATAAAATTACCAAGAAATGTTTAGTAAAAATCAAGCTTTATCAGCCTATTAATTCTAAAATAAAATCTGTATAAAAGTGGAGTGGGTTAAGGGGAGTTGAAATATTAAAAAGTCTTAAAACAGAAACAAAAACCGATATCAACATGAAATCTTCAGGAAAAAATCAAGGTTAATAAAAGAATTATATACTCAACGGCAGAATTAACCGCCCACCCAATGTTTTATTTAGTTGGAGATATTTGTAATTTTAATTTTGTTGTTTACTTTTTATTGTATAAGTACAAACAAATACCAATCAAATGAACGTTTTTGTTTAATTTTAGAAAATAAAAGAAAAACAGTTTTTGAAAATTTTTAACTATTTGAATAAGATGAGCAATACATGAAATTTATCGACAAAAAAGTATTGTTATTAACAAAATTCACTTTACTAACCAATGTTACCCCTTCTTGCCCTGATCACATCACTAGGCCTGCGTGGAATGGTATCCACGATGACTTGAATCTCAGCTTGTGGGATGTTTTCCCATTCTTCCACCGCAGCAGTTTTCAGCTCTCAAATAGTGGTTGGAACTGGTCTTCGTACTCGAATCCATTTTTTTAGGTTGTCTCAAATGTGTTCGATTGGATTGGGGTCTGGACTCTGTGCTGGCTATGGCAAAGTTCTGATGTCAACTTCGTTAAGGTATTGCGTAATCACTCTAGCCACATGACATCGTGCGTTGTCTTGTTGAAGAACAAAGTCGTTGCCAATATATGGCGCAAAAGGAATGACATGTTCTTGAAGAACTTCTTGAACATACCTGTGAGCATCTACACCGCCTCTAGCAAAAATTACCAGATCCGTACGAGCCTCGTAAGAAATTCCGGCCCATATCATTATTGAGCCTCCTTGATAACCCACAGTTTCCATAAGAGTACACGGAGCAAACCGCTCTGTCGGGCGTCTGTATACACGCTGGCGGCCATCTGGACATTTTAAAGCAATTCTGCTCTCGTCAGAGAATAAAACATTCTTCCACTGATCCA